CAATGACACGGTCTCAATAGAGAAGTATCACCATGTTCTCCTCTTCAGGGAGTGGGAAGAAGCCCTCGCAACAGGTATGCTCCCCCAAACCCCTGCCCGGGCCTGTCATCGCATGCTAATTGCCCCGCAGCAGGAGATGGTCCAAGTCGGTGGGTTTCGTCATACCTCTTGAACTCGAGCTGCCCGTTGCTGCATAGCCTCGGCTCTTGAGACTAAACTCGGAAATTCCTGGCTAACGTTGATATTTCGTTGACGGCGCAGACCGCTCAGAGTACGTTGCCTTGGCTGCATCGCCGACGCAGTTTGGAACTGACTTGGGGTAGTTCTGCATCGCCATTTTGGAAGCCGCCCCCACGCGAGAACGCATCGAAAAGAACCGGTCGCGACCCGAACCTGGTTGTCGGAGCAGCCTACTCTCATGCCGATATTCTTAAATTCGATTCACTGTGCGGACTCTTACCATTTTGGAGTCGCGCCGACACCCTCAGCTAACTTGAGCCAGCAACTTGTCCAGCTCCTCCTCCAGACCGAAGACGCCTCCTTCCTCACACTCTACCAAAGGCCGGCCTAGCGATGCCTCTCCCCCCTCGCGCCCACAGTCGGGCCTGTCGTCCCCTCCGATCAAAAGTTATATCAATTTCCTTTCCAACACCAACGATGACTGGAAAGCCGACGAGGATGAGGAGGACATGATGGGGTACGAGGACGATGATGGTGACGACTTCGGCCTGCCAAGCCTGTCTAACTTGAAGCGACGAACACGCAAGAAAGCCGCGCAAAATAGGTCAGATCCCAACGGAGGTCTGTCGCCCTTGAACGACTCGTTCGGTTTAGGGTTACACACGAGGAGATACTCGAATAGTGCGGACATTGCGATCGAAAGACCTGCGCCAACCTATCCCATGCCGAAGAAGAGCGAGGGCAAAATCTTGCGTCCACAGTATAAAGAAATTTTGAGGGGTAAGTGGTGTCGCGTGATGTTGGAATGGACCGTGCTGACTGCGACAGACCCGGCGAACGCGCTGCACCTAATCGATCACCCAGTCATACCCGACGATGCAACACCAAAAGAGATTGATGCTGCGAATTCACGAATTACTCGTATCAACAAGTTCAAGAAGCTCCTACAGGCCTCAACAATACCGCTACAGGAACTTCGGCAACTAGCTTGGTCCGGCGTTCCCCAGGAGGTTCGTGCTATGACATGGCAACTCCTGTTGAGCTACCTACCGACCAACAGCGAGAGGAGAGTCGCAACTCTAGAAAGAAAACGTAAAGAGTATCTCGATGGCGTTAGGCAGGCTTTCGAACGCGGCAGCAGTAGTGGGGGAGGTGGCACCACCCCGGCGGCACCCGGAAAAGCCAGAGGTTTAGACGAGGCAATTTGGCATCAGATCAGTATCGACGTTCCAAGAACGAACCCTCACATCGAACTTTACTCGTACGAAGCGACGCAGAGATCTCTGGAACGAATCCTGTACTTATGGGCAGTGCGACACCCTGCCAGCGGCTACGTTCAGGGCATCAATGACTTGGTAACGCCGTTTTGGCAGGTTTTCTTGAGCACATACGTCGCAGACTCCGATATTGAATCGGGCATGGACCCTGGTCAGCTGCCAAAATCGGTTCTTGACGCTGTAGAAGCAGATTCATTCTGGTGCTTGACAAAGCTGCTAGACGGTATACAAGACCACTACATTGTGGCCCAGCCAGGCATTCAGAGGCAGGTTGCGGCCCTCCGCGATCTCACCGCAAGGATTGATGCAGGGCTGGCGAAGCACCTCGAAAAGGAGCACGTCGAGTTCATTCAATTCAGCTTCCGATGGATGAACTGTCTCTTGATGAGAGAGATAAGTGTAAGGAATACGATCAGGATGTGGGACACGTACTTGGTGAGAATATTCCATCAACGTCTGATTACTGGCACCATCTAACCACCTACAGGCCGAAGAACAAGGCTTTTCGGAGTTTCATTTGTACGTGTGCGCGGCTTTCCTGGTCAAGTGGTCAGACAAGCTTGTCAAGATGGATTTTCAAGAAATAATGATGTTTTTGCAAAGCTTGCCAACAAAATCTTGGACGGAGAAGGACATTGAGCTACTACTGAGCGAGGCTTTCATCTGGCAGAGCCTCTTCAAAGGCTCGTCAGCTCACTTGAGAGGACAGCCAAGTCGCACGCCTTCAGCAAATATGCAGCTGTAGTTCCTTCTCCAACCAGATGTTTGCGGTTCAAGTCAGAGACTGGGCATTATTGAGAGGAGAAAGGAAAGGGGAATGCCATTTAGGCGTACGGCGATTGCCAAGGCAAACATGTAATCAAGGCATTGGCAGCGACACCCTGCTGGCCTATCCCGGAATTGATCCATGGGATTGATGCAACCTACAGTGCAAAGCACAGTGAAGAAGCCCAGCACGCACCCGCCATTTTGATTGGGTTTAACTCGTTTTATGTGCTGAGCGGAAGCTATCCCTGCAGCTTCGTTCCCCAATCAACGCGCCTTCCCCAGAGCTCGCGCGTCACACCACAGACTGACAAAGGCTGCCAATTCTCTTTTCGCAATTGCCTTTCTTACCTCGTTCATCCTGTTTCCCATCGTCCACAAATCTTTCTGCTATTTCATCCTTCCAATTATCAATCAGCAACATCAACCCAATTCCCACAATGGCCGACGCACCCGAACAGCCTACGATCGCCGCAGAGGTCCCTATCGCAGAGGCCCCTGTCGCAGTGGCCCCCGTCGCCGAGGCCCCAGCTGTGGAGGCTGTCGCAAATCCAGAGATCAAGCAGGATGCGCCCGCGCCGACACAACAGGACACGCCAGCCACGATCGGTGAAGAGTCTGAGGAGGACGTCAACTCCAAGAAGGTCACCCTCGCCGACCTGACTGCCAAGGGAACCGCTCTGTACGCAAAGAAGCAGTACGAGGAAGCTACCGACTGCTTTACGAAGGCTGCGGAGCTGCAAGATGAGATCAATGGCGAAATGCAACCTGCAAATGCTGAGATTCTCTTCCTCTACGGTCGCAGTGTGTTCAAGGTTGGCCAGAGCAAGAGCGACGTCCTCGGGGGTAAGGCCGCTGGTGAGAAGAAGGCGGCCAAACCCAAGTCCAAGGTCCCGAAGAAGACCACTGCCGAGCCCATGTCGACCAAGACGCCAGCCGAAACCGAGGCGCAGAGAATAACTGAGGAGGGTGTTGCGATTGTTGCAAGTGAGACGAGCGGAGCGAAGCCCGAGGAGACTGTCGAGGAGAAGAAGCCCTTGTTCCAGTTCACTGGCGACGAAAACTTTGAGGACGACTCGGATGAAGAGGAGGTAAGCTAGATTCCGCTCCTTTGGTCTCGGGCTGAACAAGTCTCGCTCTTTCATCAATGAGTTGATTGAAGACTTGCGATCCAGATTCGTCGACGACTGTCAATTGGAGCTAACCTGTTATTAGGCCGAGGGTGACGAAGAAGAAGAGGAGGAAGATGACGATCTCGCTGTTGCGTTCGGCGTGCTCGACATGGCTCGCATTCTCTACAGCAGACAGCTGGAAGAGTTGGAGAAGGTGGAGCCTAATGGCAAAGCACAAGAGCAAGTCGATGGCGAGAAGCTCAGCATCAAGCATGTCAAGGAGCGCCTTGCGGATACCCATGATCTTCTTGCCGAGATTTCCCTAGAGAATGAGAGGTAAGCACCTGCCGAGGTACCCTGCACTAAGGCTTCCGGCATTAACAGAAATCAGATACCCCGACGCCATTGAGGACTCGCGCAAGTCTTTGAAGTACAAGAAGGAGCTGTACAGCGAGGATTCGGAAGTTATTGCCGAGGCGCACTTCAAGCTTTCGTTGGCGCTTGAGTTCTCATCCGTAACAACCACTCATGAGGAGGGTGAGCAAGGAGAGAGCAAGCCTTTCGACGAAAAGCTTCGCGAGGAGGCCGCAAATGAGCTGGAAGCAGCCATCAACAGCACCAAGCTCAAGCTCCAGAACAAGGAAGTTGAACTCGCGACCATGGCATCTCCGGAAGACAATGAGGTCACCCGAGCTACGATTACCGACGTCAAGGACATGATTGCGGATATGGAGCAGCGCGTGAGTAACCATACTTTGTCCTCGACGGTACCTTTACTAACCATGCACAGCTCGTGGAACTTCGTAAGCCACCAATTGACGTCAACGCTGCTCTTGGTGGTGAAGGCTTGGGCGGAATCCTTGGAGCGGCTATTGGTGAATCTGCGGCTCAAACACAAGCTCGCGTCGAGGAAGCCAAGAAGACTGCTACCGATCTTACTGGCCTTGTACGCAAGAAGGCCAAGGAGGAGCCCAAGCCCGAAGAAACCCAGGCAAACGGTGCAGAATCCAATGGCACGAAGCGCAAGGCCGAAGAGCCTGCGGAGGAAGATGACTCATCGAAAAAGACCAAGGTCGAGGAGGCCACTCAGGCCTGAATACCCAGCGATCATGTAACATTGGACATTGGCGAAAATGATCTCGAGGGCGGGGAATAAAAGGGTCTGGGGGTTCGTTTCTTCAAGGTATTCAGGGCAGAACTGTACAATAGCTAGCGCTCTGGAAGGCAAAGGAGAACATCTTGCGCTTCACCACGGTATGCAATATGACTGGGTCACAATTGCACTAAAATTGGGTTGCATTTGACGCATCTTGTCTTCCCCTGGTGGCTGTACATTGAGTGATTGAATGTGTCGCATGAGCGCGTAGGTAGGTCGAGGTATCGGTAAAGGCAGGCGCGAAAGACCCCTTGCGTTTGACCGCCTCAGCCCCGCCCCCGCCAAAGAACCCCACCACCATCCAGCAACGACAATTTACCACCCTCCAAAGTCGCTCCTGAGTCACCTCGAGAGAGTCACGCCGACGTAGCTGCAAACCATCCGCAGTCCCAAGGAACGTGTAAGCTGTACTCTTCTCGGAACGCGTGTGTGGATTGCCTTTTTAACGAGTACACTTTACTATAGTCCGCCCCGCCAACCTCCCTTCTACCCCCACCAAAAGCTACAATCATGCTCGACCTCCAAGATTTCATCAAGGAGCGCGGTGGTGACCCTGAGAAGATCCGCGACTCCCAGCGCCGTCGCCATGCACCCGTCGAGATTGTCGACGAGGTTATCGCTCTGTGGGATGGTACGAATTTCCAATCCAACCAGGCCTTATGCCCATAGCTGCGCGCACATCGTAGGAAGGACAAATGTGGGCTGACACGAACCTCTCCGGAGCCGAATAGACCACCGCAAAACCCAATACTCTGCGACGCAGATCGGAAGCGAGATCAACGCTGTGCAGAAGGAGATTGGTATGAAGAAGAAGAACAAGGAGAACGCCGACGACCTGCTCAAGAAGAAGGAGGATCTCCAGAAGCAGAAGAAGGACAAGGAGGACGAGGCGACAGCGAAGCTCGTCACGCTCAACGCCAAGGCCAAGAGCATCGGAAACTACGTTCATGAGTCCGTTCCAATCAGCGACAACGAAGACAACAACGTCACGGAGCGCGAATGGAAGCCCGAGGCCGGACTCGGTGCCAAGACTGAGCAGACGCTTAGCCACCACCAGATTGTTACCAGACTCGCAGGCTACGACCCTGAGCGCGCTATCAAGCTTGTCGGTCACAGAGGATACTGCTTGACCGGCTACGGACTGTTCCTGTACGTTCTTGACCAGAGGAGAAGAAAGGGTGAGGCTTGCGGTAGCGATAGAGAAGCTGACCCCCGCGAACAGGAACCAGGCGCTCATCAACTACGGTCTTGAGTTCCTCTTCAACAAGGGATACACTCCTAACCAGCCTCCCTTCTTTATGAACCGCAACCAGATGGCCAAGACCGCCCAGCTTGAGGATTTCGACGAGGAGCTGTAGGGCGGACCCTCCAATCCGAAATTCACTATTTAGTGTTCTGACAGATTCTCCAGGTACAAGGTTACGGGTGATGGTGAAGAGAAGTACCTCATTGCTACCAGTGAGCAGCCCCTCTCCGCACTTCACAGCGAGGAGTGGATCCAGGGCGGTCAGCTGCCCATCAAGTACGCCGGTTACAGCACATGTTTCCGCAAGGAGGCCGGCAAGCAGTACGTTCGAAACCCCGCCAGATGACGCTCTTACCCCCCTCTGTAGATTTTGACTAACATGATGTATTTGTATAGCGGCAAGGAGGCCTGGGGCCTGTTCCGTGTGCATCAGTTCGAGAAGATTGAGCAGTTCATCTTCTGCAAGCCCGAAGACAGCTGGAAGCACTTTGACGAGATGATTGCCGCTTCTGAGGAGTTCTACAAGAGCCTGGGTCTTCCCTACCGGTAGGCTACATCAGACCAGAGTTTTGGGGCTTGAAAGCTGACTTATAATTATAGGGTTGTTTCCATCGTCTCTGGTGCTCTGTAAGCAACCCTTTATATATTGCCAACTATGGAGGAATACTGACATATTCAGGAACAACGCCGCCGCTAAGAAGTACGATTTGGAGGCCTGGTTCCCCTTCCAGCAGGAGTACAAGGAGCTTGTGTCTTGCTCCAACTGTAAGATCAAATTCCTACGCACACTATGGTTCAGCAATGCTAACATGGATGACAGGCACGGATTACCAGACCCGCGAGCTCGAGGTCCGTTACGGTGTCAAGAAGGCCAAGGAGGTGAGTCCCATCAAAGAAGCTATGGTAGTTCTCCTAAACCGGAAATTTGCTGACATTTTGCCCCACAAAGGCGCCCGGTGGTGGCCGCAAGGAGTACGTCCACGCTCTCAACGCTGTAAGTTATCTCCTCTGATGCCACTTTTGGTGTTGCGTATGTGTCGCTCATACTGACCACAATAAAGACCCTCTGCGCTACCGAGAGAACCCTCTGCTGCATCATGGAGAACTACCAGACGCCCGATGGCTTCAAGGTCCCCGAAGTGTTGCGCAAGTACATCCCCGGTCAGCCCGAGTTCCTGCCCTACGTGGCCGAGCTCCCCAAGGAGATCACTGTCGTTGCTGGCCAGAAGAAGAAATAGATCACGCCACTACGTGTGAGCGTGGAGGTAGATGGTGGAGAATGAAGAGAAATGACGCTAAGTTTTTGGTGATGAACTCATGTCCTGACTATGGTCTCCAAAGAGATCTTGAGAGAGGTCGGTTGGGGAATGGACTGGTGAGACAAAACTTTGAAGATACATCCAGACAAATAAATCTGCTTTACAACGATTCCGTGGACCGGTGACGATTTTGAGACCATCACATCTTGCGTCACCTTCATCACAACCTTGATAAACTTACCTGTCCATAAGTCGACTTACTTGAGCCAGGGAAAAAAAGTTTCTCGTCCTCGTCGAGCTTATAATATATGCGTAATTGACGGCATGATATTCTCTCCATCTATTTCTCTAAACCAGGACTATATTATGGTAGAACTTTGACTACAACCTCGCGGGCTTTGGCTTCCGCAAGTTCGCCTTGGTCCACAAGCGGACTCTCCTATTCTATCCCCGGCCTAGAAATAGCAGTCGATTGGGCCAGGGAATTAAGATCTGCCAAATACGAGAAAACCCCGCCCTTTCCGTCACGACCCACAACCGGTTATCTCGGTGTCGTATTGACGACCACCCATGGCAATCGGACTTTGAACTCTTAAAATCACAGCATTGTCGCACAATGAATACGGTCTGGGGCACGTTCGGCTTTAGAGTCTTTCCAAGACTTGTCTGTCCGGAGAGAAGCCGCCCGATCGTCTAGTTGACGATGCGTCTCATCGCCCACTTCGCCGCGGCAGCGGCTTGCTGTCTTGCTGTAGCTACCTCCCAAGCAGTGCCGAAGACGTACTTTGTCGAGCTGTCCACAGATTCCGCGGCCGAAGCGCTCAGCATCAGTCCGCATGATCTCGCCAGCAAGGCCGCCGAAGCGTCTATTCCACTACGAGTGCGATATGAGTACACCGACAAGAGTGTCTTTTACGGAGTATCGGTCTCTCTGGACGACGACTCGGACAGTGAAAAGTTGCGAGCTCTTCCGGGTGTTCAGAATGTTGTTCCCGTCCAGAGCGTAGCGCACCCTCATAGCCCAAGCAGTAATGTGAAGAGGTCCCCTTCCAGCGGCAAAGGCCACGAAAACCACGCCACCCGCAACTTTGAAAGCAGCAGAGAGCAATCCAAATCTTTGCTCTCTCGGAGGGCGGACGTCGACTGGAATAGCCCTCACGCCATGACGGGTGTCGACCGCGTTCACGCAAAGGGCGTGCTCGGCGAGGGCGTACGCGTCGCCGTCATCGACACGGGAATCGATTACCTGCACCCCGCGCTGGGAGGATGCTTCGGGAAAGGCTGCAAGGTCGAGTTCGGCTACGACTTTGTCGGCGACGACTACGGGTTCAGCAACTCCACCCCGAACCCGGGCCCGGATCCGAGACCGGGCTGCTTTGACAGCTTCCACGGCACTCATGTGGCGGGCATCATCGGTATGGAGGTTTCCTCGAACGCCTCCATGTTTCCCGGTCTCGTTGGTGTTGCTCCCAGGGCGACGCTGGGCATGTACCGCGTCTTTGGGTGCGATGGGAGCGCGTCGGACGATGCTATTGTTGCGGCTATGCAGAGGGCCGTTGAGGAGGGTGCCCATGTTGTGAGTATCTCGATTGGAGAGTTTGGAACCTGGTCGGGTTATCCCAGGTCGATTCTCCCTGCTGCCGTTGCCGCGTTGAGAGCAAAAGGCGTCGCTGTTGTGGCTGCTGCCGGCAACTCTGGTACGCAAGGCATGTTTTCCATCAACTTGCCGGGCGGAGCTGATGACGGGCTCGGCGTTGCGTCTGTGGAGAATGCAAAGTTTCCAACGTACCCGATCCGTGACTCGAACGGTGCCGAATTTCGCTACGGAGCATTGCATGCATTCCCGGAAGGGGAGTATCCTGTTGCTTGGGCCGGGAGAAATACGTCGGGGTACAAGTTTGGCTGCTCGGCTTCCGATTACCCGCCAGCCAGTAGTCTTCAGGGGCCAATCTCCGACTACATTGTCGCCGTCAAGAGAGGGCCTTCTTGTTCGCCGACGCAGGTCCAGACGTATGCCTCTGCGGCAAACTTCACTCGTGTCATTACGTACCCGGATCCTACCATCGATGATGTCTTCATTGAAGGCCACGCTGTGCCAACACCGTCTCTCACTGCAGATGGGTACGTCTACTCCATGGGCAGCGTTATCGACGAGACGCTCTCGAATGCGGCCAAGAGCACCGGACAGTACAAGTTGCTTGTTGAGTCCCAGACGCCTCTTCTGGTGGATCAAGTCGGTGGCGGATCTCCAAACAACTTCAGCAGCCTCGGTATGTCTTTCTATTATCGCAGTCAGCTCTTCTTGATGTATTGACTGACAGTCACCTAGGACCCAACGCCGACTTCGCGTTCAAGCCCCAGATAGCCGCCCCAGGGGGAGCGGTCCTAGCCACGTTCCCTCTCATGGAGAATAGCGGCGGGTTCGGCATCATCAGCGGCACGTCCATGGCGACGCCTTACATCTCTGGTGTATATGCTCTGATCAAGTCACAGAATCCCGACTTGTCTGTCGAAGAGATCTTTGAGCTGATACAGACCACTGCAAAGCAAGTCAACATGGCAGACTATGAAATGATGGCGCCTGCAATTCAACAAGGCGCGGGTCTGGTTCAGGCTCACAAAGCCGTGTTCCCGAGAACAGTGGTATCTCCAGGGAAGTTCAAATTGGTTGATGTCGAGGAAGCTACTTTTACCATCGACAACCCGTCGGGAACCGACATCACCTACAGCTTCTCCAACGTGCCTGCTGCTGGTGCAGCGCCATTCTCAGAGGGTTCAAGCCGCACCGCGCAAGTCGGTTACATCCCTTCGTCCTTCTCAGCCAAGGTCGACTTCGCGAGCGGGAGCCAAGTCACCGTCCCAGCCGGCGGCTCCGCCAACGTCACGTTCTCAATCACGCCCCCATCCTCACCAGACGCCAGCCTCGTCCCGCTCTTCTCCGGCTTCATCGGCATCTCATCCTCCTCCACTGACGAGAACTTCACGATCCCGTACATGGGCCCAGCCTACAACTACAGCAGCACGCCCGTCGTCGGCCTCAACAACATCACCGCGGAACAGCGCGCCAACGCCCTGACGCCGACGCGCGATCCCCTCTCAGCCCCGCAGGTCTTTGCCAACGGCGATAAGGCCGACATTGGTAACTACCGCGCCTTTTCGTTCCAGTACCCGGACTACCCGGTCGCGCTCTTCACCTCGCTGCAGCCCGTGCGCAAGTTCCGCTTCGATATTGTGCGCGCGAGCACGAACTTCACGCCGACGTGGTACGGCTTCGATCCTAGCGTTAAGTTCGATAACCTCACGGAGACGTCGATGAAGGAGAATGGCACGGTTGCGGGCGTTGATATACTCGGGTCCAACATGATTCAGGATGGGTGGCTGCCGCAGACGAGTTACCAGGCTGGGTGGTCTTATAGCATCCTTGATGCTACGGCTACGATAGGATTGGGATTGAAGAAGGGGTCGTACCGGATTTTGCTGAGATGGCTCAAGTTTTACAAGGATGAGGAGGATCCTGCGTCGTGGGATAGCTGGATGAGTGGTGTTGTTGATGTTTTAGAGGACGTTTTTGAGCCAACTATTCCGTCATAGACTTTGAGCTAGGTATTTATGGGTTGTTGGTGTGCATATACATACCAATAAAATCCAAATGTTCCATGAGCTGTCGTCTCACACTAGATATATAGACGCGAATCTGACAGGACTCAATCGAGTCCCGATACACCTGTAGGATTTAGCAGCTCGTCGGGTCCGTCTACTATCCTTGAAACTCTGTTAAAAAATTTGGTTGAAAGAACTTTGCTTTATTGTGGCTGTATTTCTCGGGTGTATGTTAGTCTCGCGGATGTAAGAGATGATGTGGCAAATAACATAGCTAGGCTGTCACCAAAGTAACTATGCTCGTGAATGAAATCGGATAGAGAAACTAGCTAAGACAGCACGCCCAGCTTGCCGTGGCCTGCTCACGCTACTCAAACTCTGACCATTTCAGCAATAACTGCCATATCGTCATCCACGTATTCGAACTATTAGACTGAGCCATCCCAGCCTGCATCTGATTCCGAAAAGCTGCACTCGTTGCGCCCGCCTCCGTCGCATGCCATCCAAGTTGACTATTCCCATGCTCGTACCCATCTGTCGTGCCAGACACCACCTGTATCCCCTCAATACCTTGGTACGTAACACTCATGAAGCCCGCATGCATAGCATTCATCATCTGCATATCCTGCATTTGGCGAAGCGCCTGGACCTGCAGCACAGTCTGCACCCAAACCCCGTGCCGCACCCTCGAAAACTCAATCAGCGCCTCCGCGTTGCCCGCCTCGCACGCCTCAATCCACTTTTGCCGCATGCGCGGGGAATACAGGCAGCACATTCTCTTCTCGACGACGAGGTCGTTGTTGAACTCCATTGTCAGACTAGGGGGAGGTGGCGAGCTCTCCTGGCAGAAGGTGATGTAGCACTCTGGGCAGATTGTGCAGTCGTCCCACCCATACCAGCGGCGGTTGTCAACGAGGTTCTCCTTGGCGCAGTGCGGGACGCCGGCGAATTTGCGCACGAAGACGGAGTAGCGGGACCAGACGCCGGTCTCGACGGCTTCGGCGTTGCGGTTCATGTGGTCGACCCATCGCGGGGCCGAGGACCGCTCGAAGCTGCAGAGGTAGGTTTCTCCTGCTTCCTCGCTCTGAGATTTCTCGTAGAATCGGTTCAGTCCGAATGGAGTGATGAAGGCTGCATGGCATGGGGCACAGATCCTATAGCCGTCACAGCCGCCGCCGGTCAACGTGTACCACGTGCCGTTGATGATGCCCCGTTCGGTACACGGTGGGCAGGAGAGGATGACCTCCAGAGCACGGTAGAGAACGTTGATGTCCTGAAAGTCCTTGGCATCTGTGAGTGCGACCTCAGCGGGCAAGCCATTCATGCTGCATGTGATGGGTGTAGGCTCCGTCGTTGTATAGCCTAGTGCGGCGTCCATC